TGAAGGCATTACCCAACATGTACACAGAGCCCTTCAGCAAAGGGTCTGGCATTTAAGGAAGTCTGTGTCCAGTCATTAACTAACCACTCTGCTAATCAGACAGAGACATCAGTGGCACCTTTGACAAAATATAAACCTTAACAGAATTTAGAAAAGTCCCCAAATGACTACCATAACAAACAGCAGTAATAACAAGCCCTGGATAGGAAATCTGATTTCCAAAATTGCTGTTTATTTTTTTAAATGTCCAGTTTTCAACAAAACAAGAAAATATATGTGGGGGAGAAACAATCAGTAGAAACTGTCCCTAAGGAAGCCCAAAATTAGACTACTAGATAAAGATTTTAAAAGAGATATTTTAAATATGTTTGAAGAACTAAAGGAAACTGTATCTACAGAATGAAGGGAAAATATAGGAACAATATCTCACCAAGTAGAGTATATCAATAAAGAGATTACTTTTATAAAAAATAAATTTTGGTGTAGAAAAGTACAGTAAGTGAAATCAGGAAAAAAAAATCCTCTTTGTCAAGCTCAACAGCAGATTTGACCTGGCAAAAGAAAGAATCCACAGACTTTGCAGATACATCTATTAAGATACCTGGGCTAAAGAACAGAAAGAAAAAAGAATTAAGAAAAATTCACAGAGCCTCAGAGACTTGTGGGGATGCCATCAAATGTACCAGTATATGCATAATAAAGTCAGGATGACAGGAGAGAAAGGGACAGGAAGGATATTTGAATAAATAGCAAATATCTTCCCATATTTAATGAAAGCATTGTGCACATCTAGGAAGCTCAGTGAACTACAAGTAGAATAAACTTGAAGAGATCCATACCAGAGATAGGTTAATATCATAATCAAATATCAAAAGACAAAGAACCCTGTAAGCAAAGAGAAAAGACTTATTATATACAGGGACTCCTCAGTAAGATTAACAGCTAATTTCTTGTCAAAAACCATGGAGGCCAGAAAGCACTTCTGAAAGAAAAAAGCCATTGTCCAAGGATTTTATACCCAATCAAACTATCCTTCAGAAATGAAGAATAAATCCCAGTGCCAGGTAAACAAAACCTAAGGGATGTTAATCTCCCTAAGTTCTGTTATAGGCAGTAAACCCAAGAAATACTAAAGAGAATTCTTCAGACTAAAAAGAGACATTAGAGAGTAACCCAAATCCATATGAATAAATAAAGAATACTGTTAAAAATACATAGGTAAATATAAAGCAACATAAGTGTATTTTTTGTTTGTAGTGCTTTCCTTCTGTATGATTTAAACAATGATTAAATAAAGCAATAATTTTAGATTTCTGTTGACGGGCACACACTCATTGTTTAAAAATGTAACTTATATGACAAGGGTATCACAAGAGATATATTAGAGCAGAGTTTTTATTTACTATTGAAACTAAGTTGGTATTAATCCAAAGTAAATGGTTATTTAATGTTAATTACAATCTATCAAAACCACTAAGAAAATAACTCATATTTTTATATATATAATTTTTAAAGGATATTAGAATAGTACACTGGAAAATATCTATTTCACAAAGATGTTAGTAATAGAGAAATAGACAAGCAAAAAAAGACATAAGGTGTGAAGAAAACAAATAGTAAAATGGATGACATAAATCTGTTCTGTTCAATAATGCATTTAAGGTAAATGTGTTAAATACTCCAATTAAAAGACAGATATTAACAGGATAGATGAAAAAAGATCCAACTATATACTTTCTACAGAAGACACACTTTAGAGTCAATCTTTGTTGAAAATAAAATGTTGGGAAAGATATGCTATGCAAACAGTAACCAAGAAACAGAGTGGCTATACAAATATCAGACAAAGTAGACTTTAATACAAAAATTGTTATTAAAAATCAAAGGACATTTTATATTTATCATATAGATTAAACATGATATATAGTTGTATATGGGCTTCCAGGTGGCACTAGTGGTAAAGAATCCACCTGCCAGTGTAGGAAATGCAAGAGACTTGGGTTCAATCCCTGGGTCTAGAAGATCGCTTGGTGGAGGGCACAGCAACTTACTCCAGTATTCTTGCCTAGAGAATCCCATGGACAGAGGAGCCTGGTGGGCTACAGTCTGTAGGATTGCAAAGAATCAGACATGACTGTGTAATTCCTGATAAGTTTCTAGAAAGAAGTAAACCATTGAAATTTTGATTCAAGAAGAAATAGAAACTATAACTATAGATCTTTAACAGTTAAGGGTTGAACTGATAATTATAACTTCCCACAAAGGAAAAAGCCCATTGCCAGATGGCCTCACTAGTGCAATCTATGAAATGTTTTAAGAATTATTGACACTAGTCATTCACAAACTTCCCAAAAAAGGTAATGGGTGTGAAGGACCCTTCCCAACTCATTGTATAAGGTCAGTTCATTCTTGTATCAAACCAAAGATATTACAAGAAGAAAAAACTCAATATCCCTTATGAATTTATATGTAAAAATCTTCAACAAAATAGCCACATGGATTCAACAGTATAAAAAAGGATTGTACACAAGCATTAAAAAAGAATTATATACTATAACCAAGTGGAATTTATCCAAGGATTGTATAGCTGGTTCAACATAGGAATGCCGAACAAAGGAAGACATCATGTTAATAGAGCTAAGGATATAAACTATCTCATGACTATCTCAACAGAATAATCTCTTGTCAGAAACCACCACCTTTACATCATAAAAACACCAAACAAATTAGGAATAGTACAAAACTTTCCTCAACCTGATAAAGTGTGTCTGTGAAAAACTGATAGCCTTTGTATTAATAACACTAAATGCTGAAACACTGAAAGCTTTCCCTCTAAGATCAGGAACAAGGGTGTCCACTCTTGCCACTTTTATTCAACCTTGTACTGGAGCTTCTATATTGGGCAGTTAGGAAGAAGGAAAATATATATTATGTGCAGACTCTATGATCTTATATATAGTAGATCTTATGAGATCCAAAAAATCAAAAATAATAAACAAACTCAGCACATTTGCAGGACAGAGAGTCACATACGAGAAACAGTTGTGTTTCTGTATACAAGCACTGAACAACCTGAAAGTGAAATTAAGAAAACAGTTTTATTTACAGTAGTATCAAAAAGAATAAGATTAACAATATAGATAAATAAAATATGGAATCTCCATACATAGAGTATATGATTCAGCTATAATAAGCAATGATGTACTAAATCAAGGATGAGCTGTGGAAACAAGCTAAGTAAAGAAGCGAAACAAAAATAGCCACATATTATAATATTTCTTTTATTTTAAATGTACAGAACAGACAAATTCTTAGAAAGTAGAGCAGGGGTTGCCAGGGTCTAAGAGGAGAGGGAAGAGGGGAAAGAATGCTAATAGGTAGTGGGGTTTGGGGGAGCTGATGAAAATGTTTTGGATCTAAAGCATGGTGATGATTGTAATACTTGTGAATGTACTGAAAACCACAAAAACACTAAACTTGAAAAATGTCGATTTTATATAAATTATATCTCCATATTTTTAAGTGGTGTTTTTTTTTTCTTTTAATGACCTTAAGTCTATTTACACTATGTGCCTCTCAGTACCAAGATTTCTTCTAAAATGTCCTTGATAATGTTTTACATTAAAATGTTTGGCATTATTTAGGAGCATTTTAAATTTGTAGTCTTGTTAACAAATTATTCTGTATTGAATCTGTATTGGTTGTCTTCAGATTTTTTCTGTAGCCAAAGGCTTTGATGCTAGGAAATAATTATAATTAAAAATTATGATATTTTCTACAACAATCTTTGAAAGTTTGTCTACCTTTTCTATTTCTTCTCTAATTTTTTCTGCTAGAATTAGGATTTTATGTTCAATGTAAAGCTATTTATACATTGTGTTGAGTTTTTTATGGCCTTTAGCTAGAGATATTCTCTAATAAAACCATGATATGTTACATTTGTTTAAGGTTTTCGCGTCTTGATTTTCATTTGAAAGGTGTATGCACTTGTTAACTAGGTACATAGTGATATCCTTTATAGATAATATAAAACATCAGGTCTTCACTGTTTTAAATGTTCTTTAAATGTCCCAGAAATTTCTAGGCTATAGTCAAATTTTACAAAATTGGTGTGTAACTTTTAACAAGTTTTGGAGGAGATGTTGAGGAAACAAGCTTTCATGTAAAAATTGCATGATAGTTTCTCTTCTTTCCCAAAAGTATTCATTAAAGGTCCCAAACATTGCTGTATTTTATTCATTGATAGTTCTTGGGGGGAAGGCCAACTTAAATATTTAAATTAGCTACATTTAAGTCTAATGCTCACATCAATGTCCTGTTAAGTTTTTCTTGTAGTGTAAAAGTTTCAGTCACTAAAGGTAAAGTACTATGCAGTGTACTAGGTACTGGCAGCCTTTCAGAAAAAAGAATTTAATTGCCTATTCTTCTAGAGTGGGATTGATCACCTCACCCAAGGAAGATCCCCATATTAAAAAAGAAAAGAATGTCTTCTTGCTCATTTAGTAACATCATTGTATTTAATGTCAGTCTGTGAGATCTGAGCTCTTTTAATACTTGAAGTTCTTGCTTTCCAGTTACTCTTAAAGAATAGAAGGTTTAGTTTAGGAAAGGAAGGAAGAGAACTGAAATTGAGATTAATAATAGTGAAAATATGGCAGAAATGTACAAAATGATGACACTTTTGATTTTTCAGGTTGCCAAATTAAGGAACATTTCTCAAGAGATTGATAGACAGCCTTCTAGAAACGTAGGGGGAAATGCTTTGGTTTTGTTCACTTGACAGTGAACATAGTATTTTTAGTGAATAAAATTGTTTTGGTTGATAGTAGTCTTTTGTTTTACTCTGCAATTTATTTTTAGTAAATCAAAAGAAAATATTTTAGTCATAAAATAATTGCAAATAATTTTTTTAATCTATGCCTTCTTAACAAAGAGGCTATTATGATTTCTGATTAGTGTGATGGTTTTCTTTTGAATTTAATATTTGATTTGATTTACAGGTAAACAGTGTTGACCTCAGAACTGCCAGCCATGAGCAGGCAGCAGCTGCTTTAAAAAATGCTGGCCAAGCTGTCACGATTGTTGCACAGTACCGACCTGAAGGTAATAAATTCTTGTTGTCTGTTTTTATTTTTTATTTCAGTTTTTAGAAGTCCTCCTCTTAATGTTTAACTTCCGAAGCTTAGCTTTCTTTTTGTGTTTTTGTCTGATTCATTAATCTGTTACTTTTTCGTTGCTGTTGCTGTTTAGTCACTAAGTCATGTCCAACTCTGGCAGCCCCATGGACTGTAGCCTGCAAGGTCTTCTGTCCATGGGATTTCTTAAGCAGGAAAACTGGAGTCGGTTGCCATTTCTTTCTCAAGGGGATCATCCCGACCCAGGGATTGAACCCACATCTCCTGCATTGGCAGGAGGATTCTTTTCCACTGAGTCACCAGGGAAACCCTGTTATTTGTTTACTTAGAATCTAATTCACCATCCAGATCAAAGTGCTTTTGAATAGAATATAGGAACTTGTATCTGCCAACTCTTTGAATATCTCATCATTATTTGGATTAATTTTTAAATGTTTATTTTTTTAAATCTGTCATCTAACTAAACACATACTTTTAAAGATACCTTTTGCTAACTTAGTGGTTGAAAAACAAAGGTAGTCTATTAAGTTATCTCAATTTTTTATGACTTTTTAATTAGATTATATTTATTAATATCAGGGTTAAGATACTCTAGTAGCTTTTATTGTTACTTTAAAAAAAAAGAATACAAATTTGGAATATGATAAGTTTCTAAATAGTGAAGTCTTACGGATATAACCTTGCCAAGTTCCTGCTGGGAGATGATAATGGAAAATTTGAGGTCATATTAAACATACATAAGACTCTAGTGTACCTCAACATAACCACTTCAGTGAAACCTCAGTGGAATTTAAAAAGCTTAAACACCCAAAAGAATACATAGCGTACTAGTTAATGTTCATAAACAAGGTGAAGAAGGAAAGAATGATGTGACTAAAGGAGCCAGGCAAAACATTGTATAATTTGGCAACATTAGCTTAGTTACATTTATTATTCTTTTCTTAGAGCAGAATTTATTTCTATGACAAAACCCCAATATTTGTGTTACGTGATCAAAGTAGTATATTGGGCATTGCTTGCTATTTCATAATATAATATTTATTATAAACCATAACATTCTAGGTTCGTAACTGAACAAAAATAAATTCATTTATGTAAGAGGTAAGTTCCAAATAAATCACATTAATCAAACAAATTAAGGAATAATAGATGAACTCAGAATGCCAACTTATTAATTTTTGTGAGAAACAGAAGCTGCCACTGGGACTTACCCATGCTTTTATCTTCTGGCCAACACGTTCTTGCCAATAGGTATATTATATGGAAACCAAATACAAAAGCAACAAGGAAAATAAAACGTAAACATACTTCTATCCATACAGCTTCACCTAGCATTAAGCAAAACTAGGAAGACAGGTATAATATCTGGGCAACAAAATACAGGTAAAGGCTGTTTAAGCAGGTTAAGATCTGGCAAAAGCTACCTGGATAGAAGAGAAGGGTAAAAACATGAATGTTGAGAATGCTCAGTGGTAACCAAACTTAAATTGAACTTCCTAAAGGTGAGGGGCTATAAATCCCTTGTTTATAGCAGGGCACATGAAAATTGGAGTAGCAAACTAGCAAAAGCCATCCTTGATGTGGTTTTGTTTAGAGAACTAGAGGGACCCATATTTGGTCAAAACCATCTGTCTTGCTAGTACCAGATAAGTTGACAGTTTTTTGGTTTTAAAGGATGTAAAAATATGCTTTCAAATCTACCCTGCACTCCAAACTTTCTGGTGCAGTCAACTCATTCAGTAATAAGCAGTTTAACAGGAACTGGCCTGGCATTCATACAGAGATATTAATAAGAAGAGGTGGAAACAAACAACAAAGCTTATTAGCAAGAGGAAAAGATGGCTTAACAACCAGAAGGAATTGATTTTGAGCTAGCATAACCCAGGAAAGAAGAAGAAAGCAAACCATTTTCTTAAGTTGAAACACAAAGAGACATTATAGAAAATTCAATACAGGACATAAAGGATACAATAGGAAAAGTAAACAAAATGAAACAAATGCAAAGAGAATTTTTAAAGTTTAGAGAGAAAAACAGGTTGTTTTATATATATATGAGAAGTCGCTCGGTTGTGTCCAACTCTTTGACACCCCATGGACTGTATGGTCCATGGAATTCTCCAGGCTAGAATACTGGAGTAGGTAACCTTTCCCTTCTCCAGGGGATCTTCCCCACCCAGGGATGCTGTATTATATTATAGCATATAATAATTAGACTTTCTGGAAAAAATAAATTTTTTTAAAAGAAGGGAATAAATGCTTGAACCTTATAATTCACTCAAGAAAACTTTCCTCAATTAAAAAGAAGTGATTCCTTATATTGAAAATACACAGCATGATAGAAAACTCAGAATGGTCAAAATCCAGATATATTCTAGTTAATGTTTATCAAGAATCTTCTGAAACCCAGTTAAAAATATTACCTTATTAATAAGGAGATAAAAATTGATAAGAGAACTGCTTTGATGCTTGGTGAGTGTAGATCAGGACAGGGATCTTTCATTTTATCAGCAGTGTGTTTATTGACTCTTGCCTAAGCCTAAAATGTGCCTCTGTGTACACTGGGCATCCCTGCCACTGGTGGCTGGCAAAGGTGGGCTTCCCTTGTCCTAGGATAGGTATTTCGTGGGCCTAGGAATCTCCTTTTCAGATTATCTTTTTCTGTGCTTGTACTCTGGTTTTGTTGTTCTTTTTTGTGATTTTTATGCTTTTCTTCTGTGTGAATCTTTCTGATTGATACTTTTTCTTTAGTTATATTCAAAACTTTGAGCTTTTCTAATCTTGATGGAGCCATTTTTTGTATCAAGGAGAATTTGCATCCAATGTTGCTTATTCAAGTAACTACTACTTAGCAGACATCTTCTGTTTTAAGGTTAGACTCTTACGTTAATTGTTCTTGTGTATATATCTTTTTTCCCCCAAATATCTCCTAAACACCAGACATTACTTATTTGATTTCTCCAGATGTATTTCTCCCTAATGTTTGAAACTGAGCATGTCTGAAACAATTCTTTTACTCCTTCAGTAAATGGCATTTCCATTGATGCTTAAGTCAGAAGACTAGGACTCAGCCTTGACCTCCCTTCCCTTTTCTCACCTTCTATTTCTTGGCCACTAACCTGACCAAACCCACGGTCATATCTTACCTGAACTTTTCTAATAGCCTCCAGCAAGTCTCCTTACTTCTTTCTTGTACTTTCTCCAGGCCATCAGCCAAAATCATCTTTTAAAATAAAAAGATTGGATTGTATCATTTCCCATTTAAAACACTTCCAGTTATGCTCTGAATAAAATCCTAATAGAGCCTGCAAGGCCGTGTGTGATTGAGCACAGTGTAACATGTTTGGCTTTACGCGCTCCCTCTACTCATTTTTTTGCTCCTTATGGTCTAACCATATAGTCCTTCTTTCAGACCCTTGATTACAGCAGGTATTTTCCTAATTCTCTGTTCATTCTGTTCTTAGAATATTTTTCCCCCTGTTACTTATATGATTGGCTCCCTCTTATGATTCCATTTCTTTTAGCACTGTTGATATTTTTCGTTATAACACTTAACACAGTTTATATGTTTAAATAGGTGCCTATTTGTTTTTATTTATTTAAGCCTTGCTCTGGAGCTTTATGAAACACATAGCTATATCCCTACATACAGATGATGATATAGACTCAATAAAAGCTAGCAACAGCTAGGATTCAGTCCCAGGTCTGTTGCCTTAAAAAATGTAAGTACTTTTCACTAGGAATATTTTGATAAGTGTTTAGCCTGGCAGTATTGATTTATACTGTATTTTTTTTTAACCACAGCTGTGGTGTCATTGCCTAATAAATGCAACGTAAGTACCGATAGAGCACAGAAAACAAACATTACCTTAGAAACTCAAGAGGAGGTAAATCATATTGCATGCTATAAAGGGAAAAATGCCATAGAGTAGGATTGGAACTTAACTGGAAGCCTGATGAATGGGCAGGCTTTCAATGGGCTGAGAGAAAAAATGACATTCTATAAAGAATGACAGAAGACCAAGGATAATAGAATTAAAATTTAAAAGTGTGTTTTGGGTACTTTGAAAACTTACCTGTCCTCTTTTCTTTATTGCTACTTACCTTATGTTTGTTTATTAGGCAGTGACACAGTGGCTTTATGTTTTAATATTAATTAATTATGTAGTTTTAATAAATGTATTTTTGTCATACAGCACTTAAAAAGAAAAAAAACATATTTCACATCATCAGTGTGTAACTGCTGTGAGAGCCAAGGATATAAATTGAAGATAAGAGTCAGATGTTCTTTCTCAGTGAGGGGACTATTTTCCAAAGTACAAACGGAATTGCCTGATACTCTGATAATCAGTCATCTCCTTACAGTTAGTATCTTCACTTTAATAATGACAGACCCCTTTGGATTCTCTGCTTCATTGATAATCTGACATATGTACATATGTGCAAAGAGGTAAGCTTCTTTGGTAAGAGCGAGTTTTTATCTTTTAGGATCTATAGCTTGCCTATTAGTCATCCATGAAATACTGTTAACAAGTTTTTCAGCCTATATACTTTAAACTTTTATGACATAGGCTCTAAGTATGAAAACCTCTACAAAACATTTAGAAGGACTTCATCTCCTACCTCCCCTCAGTTTTGCTAACTCCAAAAGTAAGCAACAATATATTTTTTAGAACTTTACTACTAGTCATTTGGGGGAATTACACTCAGAAATCAAACACAGGCACTGGAATTACTATTCTAATGTTTTAATGCATATCCAGAATATACAAAATTTTGACAAATGAGTTGGGTATATAGACTATAATAGAAAAAAATATATGCCAGACATCTAACCATATTTATTACCTCTTTTAATTCCCATAAAGCCCTTAAAGTGGGCACTTTTTGTGCTGTTTTCATTACAGTTTAATGAAATAAGGCACAGGAAGGTTAAGCAACTTGCCAGTCAAACAGCTGTTACTTGGTTAA